TCAGTCCTGGAAGCATCTCTGGTCCTGTAGTCCTGCCTTCATCTTGAGCCCCTCTCAGTGCCTTGTATTTTTACAGTAGTTTCAGCTTAGAGCAGTGAGTCGTTCGGGTCTCTGGAGCATCTTCAGAGGTCCCTTTTCATCTTCACCAGGACCTTTGGAACAGCCCAAGTCCCATGGTGATGCAGGACAAAGCAGCCGTGGTGGCTTCTTAGACCACAGGCAAGTGGGGGACATGGCTGGTAGTGATCCCAGACCTCAGGAAGCCCGGCTGATGGGTTTCCCATGTGCTGGCCTTCAGTGACACCAAGGGGCTGGGTGGAGAGGAGGATTCAGCTAGAACAGCCTCTTTGGGCTTTCACCTGCGCCTTACGGACCTGGGTCTGTGCGCTCACCTTGAGCCCCCCAGACACGCAGTATGTCCACAGCGTTAGCACGCTCCCTGGGCCCACTGTCAGCACTGGGGGCTTTTAGAAGGATGTGTCTGCCTGGCATCACCACATCCAATCCCGCCGCATTCTGCATTTCAGAGCCAGAATACAGGTCTAAAATGCCTGTTTTATTTTAGAAACTACTGTTCTCCCCAGGATTAAAATGTGCAGGAAGCATTCATCCCACCCTTAGTTTAGCTGATAGCCTTACCCGCCCTTGTGTTTTGTTGCAGATCTGAACTTCTTTTACCCAATGGCTGTTTTCCTGCATTTCCCTCTAGAGGTATTGGCATTTCGAGAAGCACTTCAGCCTTCCAGATATTTACGTAATTCATTACGGACATATTTTGGACTTACAGTATCTTACAGTACAAAAGAAAAAAAAAAAAAGACTTTCCTCTTTATTTCCAGAAGTTGTTACAGATTTCTCCTGAATTTAAATTTCCTGAAAATTTGGCCAGGACATGCTGTAAGTTTTTATTCCATTAGGGAACCATAAACAAAACCACTTACCAGCAGGCCTGAAGCAGAGATGAACGCCTGACCTGAGCATCTCTCCTGCACCTTCCTGAGAGACAGACCGAGTGATCACTGTGTGAATTAAAGTCCATTTCCTAGAAACTCACTCATCTCTTGAAGCTTTTAGGAAGACTAAGAGATAAAGCCACTCACTGAGAGATAAAGGCAGGAAAAGTGTCTGTCCCAGTGCAAGCCCATTTCCTAGAAACTCACTCATCTCTTGAAGCTTTTAGGAAGACTAAGAGATAAAGCCACTCACTAAGTGATAAAGGCAGGAAAAGTGTCTGTCCCAGTGCAAGTGTGTGAGGGTTGTTAGTCGGGGGTGTCCTTCATTTTCCGCCAGGGGACTGCACATCCATGGAGTGAACACCCCAGAGGTGGGCAGGGGACCAAGTCCAGCATTGGAGACACGGGGCCCCGGGTCGAAGGCTGTTCTTAGATAAGCTTCATGACAAACATGGCATTTGAGCTGGGTCTTGAGTGGAGCCAGGAGAGAACAGGAATTTTGAAAATTCCTGAGGGAAAAAATGTGAACAAAGAAAGGGACACAGGAAGTAGTTTATTGTTAACTATAATTTTCCTACTATGTTATCAAATACAAGAATGTATTTCTTCTATCTAACTGCATGTTGGTACCCATTAGCCAACTTCTCTTCCTCCCCACTTCCCTTCCCAGCCTCTGGTAAACACTATTCTATTCTCTGCATCTGTGAGACCCACTTTTTTTTGCTCCCACATTTGAGTAAGAACATGTGATATTCGTCTTTCTGTGCCTGGCTTATTTCACTTAACATCATGACATCCAGTTCCATCCATGATGCTGCAAATGACAGGATTCCGTTCTTTTTCTGGTTGAGTAATATTCCGTCCTGTATATATTCCACACTTTCCTTATTCATTCATCCACTGATGGACACTTAGATTGAGTCCACATTTCAGCTATTGCAGACAGTGCTGCAGTAAACATGGGAGTGCAGATATTTCTTCAATATACTGATTTCCTTTCCTTTTAAAATATACTCAGCAGGCCGGGCGCGGTGGCTCAAGCCTGTAATCCCAGCACTTTGGGAGGCCGAGACGGGCGGATCACAAAGTCAGGAGATCGAGACCATCCTGGCTAACACGGTGAAACCCCGTCTCTACTAAAAAATACAAAAAACTAGCCGGGCGAGGTGGCGGGCGCCTGTAGTCCCAGCTACTCAGGAGGCTGAGGCAGGAGAATGGCGTGAACCCGAAAGGCGGAGCTTGCAGTGAGCTGAGATCTGGCCACTGCACTCCAGCCTGGGCGACAGAGCCAGACTCCGTCACAAAAAAAAAAAAATACAATAAAATAAAATAAAATATACTCAGCAGTAGGATTAATGGATATGTGGTCGTTCTATTTTTAGTTTCTTGAGGAACGTCCGTACTGTTTTCTGTAATGGTAGTACTAATTTACATTCCCCTTTCTCCACATCCTTACCAGCATCTGTTGTTTTTTGTCTTTTTTATAATAGCCAGTTCTAACTAGAGTGAGATGATATCTCATTGTGGTTTTAATTTGCATTTCCCTGGTGATTCATGATATTGAGCATTTTTTCATATGCCTGTTGGCTGTTTGTATGTCTTCTTTTGAGAAACATCTATTCAGGTCATTTACCGATTTTCTAATCAGATGATTTGTTTTTTTGCTATGGAGTTGTTTGAGCTCCTTATATAATCTGGTTATTAATCCCTTGTCAGGTGAAAGTTTGCAGATATTTTCTCCCTTTCTCTAGGTTGTCTCTTCACTTAGCTGTTTCCCTTCCTGTGCCGAAGCTTTTTCGCTTAATATAAACCCATTGTTCTATTGTTGCCTTTTTGAGGTCTTATGCAAAAATCTTTGCCCAAACCAGTGTCCTGAAGTGTCTCCCCAATGTTTTCTTCTGGTAGTTCCGTAATTTTAGGTCTTACATTCAAACCTTTAATCCATTTTGAGTTGATTTCTGTATATGATGAGATGAGGATCTAGTTTCGTCCTTCTGCATATGGACATTTGATTTTCTCAGCACCATTTATTAAAGAGACTGTGTTTCCCCCGGTGTGTGTTCTTGCCACCTTTGTCGAAACCGAGTTGGCTGTTAAGTGTGTGGATGTATTTGCGGGTTCTCTGTTCTGTTCCATTGGTGGATGTGTCTGTTTTTATGTGAGTGCCATGCTCTTTTGGTTACTGTAGGTTGGTAGTATCATTTGAAAACACAACCAGTGTGATGCCTTTAGCTTTGTTCTTTTTGCTCAGGATCACTTTAGATCCAAGGTCTTCTGTGGTTTCATACGAATTTCAGCCTTTTTTCTATTTCTGTGAAGAATGTCATTGGTATTTTGAGAGGAATTGCATTGAATCTATAAATCGCTTTGGTTAATATAGACATTTTAGCAATATTAATTCTTCTAATCCGTGAGCATGGGATATCTTTCCATTTTTTCAGGTTCTTCCTGTTGAGTTACAGGGGTTCTGCATATGTGATGAATATTAATCCCTTATCAGAGATATGATTTTTAAACATTTTCTGTCATTCTATTGGTTGCCTTTTCACTTTGATAGTGTCCTTTGGTACACAAAAGTTTGTAATTTTGATGAAATCCAATTTATCTGTTTTTCCTTTGGTTCCTGTTTTCCCTGTTTTTTTGGTGGCACCGTACCCAAGAAATAATTGTCAAATCCAGTGTCGTAAAGCTTTTCCCCAGTCTTTCCCTGTATGAGTTTTATAGGTTTAGCTCTTACATTTAGGTCTTCAATCCATTTTTAGTTAATTTTTGCATACAATGTTAGGTAAGAGTCTAACTTCATTATTTTGCGTGTGGATGTACACTTTTCCCAGCACCGTTTATTGAAAAGATTGTCCCTTCCACATGGAATGGTCTTGAGGAAAACGTTTGACCATTTATATGAAGCCATGCATGGCACCCTTGTGGAAAATGATTTAACCATATATTTGAGGATGTATTTCTGGTCTACCTTGTGTGGACTGTAAATCTGTCTTTATGCTCACACCACGTGCTTTGATTAATATAGATTCATAGTATGTTTTGAAATCAAGATGTGTGAGACTTCCAACTTTGTCCTTCTTTTTCAAGATTGTCTTAGCTATTGATTCTATTCTTTTGCATTAGAAATCAGAAAATTTATTGCCTACAAAATCATTTTGAAAGTACTACTCAAGCCTTCTAGTAAAATTGAAAAGTAAAGGAGCAATGAGAGATATGCAAATTATTTATGATCAATCAGCAAACACCAAAACACAGTCATGTTACAAGTAATAATATAGAACTGAAGCTTAAAGCAGTTGTTAAGAATTATGACTCCTGAGAAAGTAGAACACAAAAATCAAAAGGAATTTCAAATTAACATTTTAAATGATTTCAACAAAATATAGCAGGTAGCAGAGGAAGAGATGGGAATTAGATTGAACTAGGGGCCTTATCCTATGTGGAAATTAGAGGTTATGTATGTTATTTAACTGAGTAAAAATTAAATTTTATCTATAAGTTATTAGATAAATGACCTAAAAAGGTAAAAATATACAGACATCTGCTGACCTAGGGCATGCCCAGTCCAGATGGGGTGCACCTGGTTCCACTGTGTGAAATATGAACAGCCCCCTCACTTCGAGGTTCCCTGCAGATCACACCCCCAGAACCTCTCTCCCAGAATCTCAGAAGTCAGAGTTCAGTGTTTGAGCCCTGCTGAGAAGCACAGTTCCCTCCCCTGGCACATCAGCTTCTAGGAGCTCTAAGCCCACCCTCACGTCTGTTAAGTCTACACAGATAAGACTTTTCCCATTGATCCTCATCTATCTCCTGATGGGACATTCATTTAAAAATTAAAGGGTGGGGTCATGTGTTAGGAGTGGGAGACAGGGGTGTGGGATTCACCAGCCAATTTCAAATGCATGTTAAATATTTAAAATCATTTTAAAATTTGAAATATTAATATTTCATTTTTTAAATATAAAAAATCCTAACATTGAAATTGTTAATTCTCACTTTCCGTGAAGTGTGAACATTCTCTTTGATTCTCATTGTCTTTTCCAGAGTTCTCAGGTGCTGTGGTCTCACCTTCCACTGGGGCAACAATGGGCCATTTCCAGCAGGGACGGTGCGACGTTGGCCTGCATGCCTGACTGCCACACACCTCCAGAATCAGGTGTCTGAAAAGTAAGTCCTTTGTTGGTGGGGTCTTAGTGGCAGGCCAGAGGGGCAAGTGCAGTCACTGCCTCTGACAATAGACCTGGTAGTGGTTCTGTGGACTCCCTGGAAATCAAACCTAAAGCCCGGATAAAGTGTAAGGTTCGTTGAGAAAGAGTCATGAAATGTATTTCATACGGCATTAGAATTTAAGATTGGAATAATAGGCATTATTCTTTAAAAGGAAAAAAACAACTGTAGTGATTGACAAGTGACTTGATTTATACCAGTGCAAAATTTGTCATCTGTTGCAACCATTATTGATTTTTAAAATATTATAAGCAAAAGAAAAATAGTCCTGTTATCTTAACACACTAATTATTTTTACTTTTACTGTTTCCTCTTCTTATCCAAAAATACAATTTTAATCTGACCGATATCAAGAGTGATAGCAAATTCTTTTGCTTTATCACTCTTGGAACAAATATTTTTGTATACCTTCTTGCCTACTTTTTATTTTATAAGCTTTAATTCTACAGAAAACTTGAAGGAATAGAAAAGTGAACACCCATAATTCTTCACCCAGATTTACCAATTGTTTATACACAGACACACGCAGATGGTAAATATGTGTTTGTGTGTGTTTGATTCTTTTTGTCTGAATCATTTGAAAGTAGGTTGTTGACATCATGACACACTTTGGCATCATCTCCTAAGTACACAGCTGCCTTCTACAAAAGTGTAGTACCATTACCACTGTGAAATATAATATTGATAAAGTGATATTATCCAAATATGTTGTCCCTATCCAGATACCTCTGATTGTCTCCCAAATATTCATCATAGCTGTTTTCCACTGTCTAGTGTTCAATTAAGTATCACTCACTGAATTCAGTTATGTCTTTTTTTATCTGAACTAAAGCCCTACTTTCATTTTTCTCTTTCATGATGTTGATGTCTTTGAAGAGTCTGAGCCACTTGTTTTATGGAGCGCTACCCAATCTGGACTTGTCTGATTATTTCCTCATACTTAGATTGAGATAGACATTTCCTCCATCTCTCTTTCCAGCACATCAGTGGGCGCCCATGGCTCATGGTGATAAGTTTGTTCACCGGGCTAAGGTTGTTTCTCGTGAGCTCTCTTTATAAAGTTACTTTTTTTTTTTTTTGAGATGGAGTCTCGCTCTGTCACCAGCTGGAGTGCAGTGGCAAGATCTCGGCTCACTGCAACCTCCACCTACCAGATTCAAGCGATTCTCCTGTCTCAGCCTCCCGAGTAGCTGGGACTGCAGGCACCCACCACCACACCCAGCTAATTTTTGTATTTTTAGTAGAGATGGGGTTTCACCATGTTGGCCAGGATGGGCTCCATCTCTTGAACTCAGGTAGTCCACCCACCTTGGCCTTCCAAAGTGCTGGGATTACAGGTGTGAGCCACCACATCTGGCCTATAAAGTCACTTTTTACATTCTTGTCTTTTACTAGTAAGCAATGGGGCAGACTTTGAAGCTCCGTGAACATTCTGTTCCCTGGCTGATTTTCTCCAGTGATCTTAGCATCCCTTGATGGTTGTATTATGATTTTTAAGCCATTAGTGTATTGGGACCTCAGACTTTCTTGGTCACATAGTCGTTTATGTTTCACATTTTCTGTGGTTGGGAGGTCATCACACAAGGGAGCATATGGTGAGGTGGTCAAGAGGACTCTGAAGTTAGACCATTCAGATAGGCATCTAGGTATGCATCTTGTCTCTGTCATACAACAACCAGGTGACTGCGAGCAAACATTTCTCCTCACAAACCTTTAGTGTCCTTATAGTTACAATTAGGAGACTGGGAGTGACCATCGCAGGAGGCATATGGCGGAGGGTAGAGCCTGTGGCTGGCCTTGCTAAGCAGTAGCTGTTAATTATTATCAGACACAGGAAACATGGGCGAGAGCCACTGGATGCTGCTTTTATTCCTGAGATCTTTTATAAGACCTTTAGCAAAAATGCTAATAAATCTGAATGACAGAGTAGATGCCCCATGCTCTGTGTCCCTGCAGTTAAAAGGTTACATAGGGAATGAAACCACCACGCCAGGAAGTATTCATCAGTGAACAGTGTCCTGATGTGCCCTCCCCCGTCGGCTTCCTCCTCCTGCTCTTGGTCACCCTTAACTGCCTCCCCTCGCTGGGCCTGAACCTCCCTGGTCTGTTGTCAGGTTTGCCTTTCAGTCACCACTAACCAATTGGGTTTTTTTTTTTATCTGAAGATTATGTGTGGGTATTTTTTTCCATTTAGATCAAGTCCTTTTAGTTCTATTGGCATCCCATTGCCACAGAATGCATCTTCCTTGAGAATGTTTTGAAAATTTTACCAGGAAAACAGTTTGTGCAAATATAAGTTATTTTAGAAGCTACACACGAATATGAATTAGACTGAGTCTTCAAAAAAATTGCTGTTGGAAAACATGTTAATATCTTAAAAATACTTCCTCGGAAAAGGTTACTTGCCTCGTTTTCTTCCCCACAACTCTTAAAAGCAGATGAGAGCTAGTGCTCACAGAGAAGACCGCTCTGCATCCTGCGTCCAGATGACATGCTTTCTGTCGGCTTCTTGTCAGGCTGAGCTTGAAGGGATGGCCCTGTGAGGTTCCCCTGCTTTCTGGGGCGATACCAACCCAGCTAGCCTGGGGTTTGCCAGGACCAGGGGACGCTTCTTGTGGGCTCCAGCCCCAGGCTTCCCTGAAGCCTCGCCACATCTCCTTTTTCCTTCTTACCAGCTGTTCACATGCCAGGAATCCTTGCTTGTCTCCTCGTCCTCTGTATGCGCTCCTTGGGGATGGGACTGTGCCTTTTCTGTTTTCCCAGGAGCAAACCCAAAGGTTATAGGATGAGTGAAGTGCAGGTGAAAATCAAACCTCTGGTTCTGCATCAACACCAAGGAAATCACTGAGTTTCACTTGAGTGTGTGGATGGAAATATCAGGGCTGCCTTTTCTCAGTTTCCCAAAGCACATCCTGTGGGATATCTGTCCACTTAGAAACCTGAGCTCTCTGGACTTGAGTGAGCTCCACGCTCCAGGCCTGTGTGCTAGAGAACCAAATGGAGGTGGCTGGAAGCCAAGGCAAAGCCCGTGCAGAGAGGCCCACTCCCAGGAGGCTTGCAGGTGCTTGGCCACACTCGGGCGAAAAGGACCCCTCCTCCTCCACAGCCCAGGGCCAGGCCCCTCCCTGCATCTCCCTCTTCCTGTTCCCTTCTCCTGTACAGCGGCAGCCCGGCAGTATGTGTTCCCCGGTGTGGGTTCATCAGCATCACCAGCCGGGAAACCCTCATACCCAGAACTTGGTTTTGGGGCTTACTCTTCAAAGCCCTGTTGCTGAGCCATGGAAAGAGACACAGGCCCCCGTGAGATGGCATAAGTATAAATTCACAAAAGGCTTGAAGACACACCCTTAGGGCAGTTCTTAAATCCCCTGGGGGCTTGCTATCCCCACAGACATCGTGCCCCGTAAGTGTGTGAAGGTGGGTCAGCCAGTCAAGATGAGGCCAGGAACCCAGTGTGTATTCAGCACTTTGCTGAATTCCTGTGTACATCTTGGTTACTCCTAGAGCATGCAAAAGCTCAATTCTCAGGCAAAATCATCTGTCACCATGTTCCAAAGCTTTGTTTAACTCATTAATTAGGGAACCAGCAAAAAGACAAATGATCTGGCTCCGCAAGCATTTGGTAACTGGGATTGATTGATTGATTGATTGATTGATTGATTGATTTTGAGACGGAGTCTCGCTCTGTCATCCAGGCTGGAGTGCAGTGGTGCGATCTCGGCTCACTGCAAGCTCCGCCTCCCGGATTCACACTATTCTTCTGCCTCAGCCTCCCGAGTAGCTGGGACTACAGGCACCTGCCACCACGCCTGGCTAATTTTTTGTATTTTTAGTAGAGACAGGGTTTCACCGTGTTAGCCAGGATGGTCTCAATCTCCTAACTTCGTGACACATCCACCTCAGCCTCCCAAAGTGCTGGGATTACAGGCATGAGCCACCATGCCTGGCTGGTAACTGGGATTTTTAAGGTCAGTTGGGAAAGAAATGCAGAAATGAGATGCTAAGTTAAGGCAAACCTCTACAAAGCAATACAAATGCCAAATTTGGAGTTAATTTGTTTACTAGGCAGTAAAAGTCATAAGCTATCAATCCTGCAGGCTAATCTCACAGGGCTATAAACCTCTTTATTTTAACCAATTGTGAATGATTAGATAAATATTTGTCACACTGCTCAAGAGCTTCAGAATGAGATCAATCAGACTTTTTTGCATTCTAGCAGAATATCACAGATCCCAGAAATCATCATTTTTCCCTTTTTCAGGTTTGGAATCAATGTTTCCATAACAATCAGCTAAAATATGGTGGTTGACAAGTTGTGAGTGATCACGTAGCACCGTGTGAAGGTGCCGCTTTTTGGCCTGCACAATGCACTTGAGCTCCGGTGTAGACACTGCAAGGCCATGTGTGGGAGACAGCTTCTGACACAGCTCCTAACCATTCCTGCCTCCTGACATTGCATCTTCATATTGTCCCCTGCCCTTGGGTGTGGGCTGGACATAGTGACTCGCTGTTAATAAACAAAATACAGCAGAAGTGACAGGTGTCACTTCCAAGACCAGGATGCAAACGCAGTGGCTTCTGTCTTACTCAGGCTCTCTCTGACTCTTCTCACATGGTTGCTCTGATGAAACAACTCTGATTTTGTGATCTCACCTTTGGAAAGGCCCACGTGGCAAAGAACTGAGCTTCTTAGTTCAACAACCCTCAGAAACAATTCTGTGAATGATCACATGAGTAAGCTTGGAAGAGAAAAGCTCCTCATTTGAGCCTTCAGATGAGACTGCAGCCTCAACTCACATTTTGATTGCAGCCTTGTGAGAGACCCTGAGCTAAGGTGCACTCTGACTCCTGCCCCACAGAAATGGTGAGATTATGTGTATGTGTTGTTTTAAGTCCCTAAATTTGGGAGTCGTTGTTTCACAGCAATAGGTAACTGATGC